TCGATTTCATTCAGGTAAATGCTTGCATATAGCAAAGTAATTCTTTGCTATAAGCAAATTGTGTAAAAAAAAAAAATAAAAAATACTGATCACTTCCCCAAAGTAGTACAATGTTACTATGGTAACATTGTACTACTTTAGTCATAGTAAAATATGAAAAAGAAATCTTAAAAAAAATAAAAAAAAAGTAATAAAAAATTAAATATATAATAAAAAAAATAAAACAAATTAAAAAAATATATATATTTTTTTTTTTCATACTGTCACCAGTCAGTGTCCCTGTTAACCGCCATGCCAGTTATATGATGACGCTGTACTGCACTGGTGACAGTATGTAAAAAAAAAAAAATAGTGAAAATAAATTTTTTTAATTTTTTCATTTTCCGAAAAATTATGACATAAAAATACAACTTCAAAAAACTCGCCAAGCCTCTTATGAAGTACGTCGGACTGTCTACTCTGCAAAAAGGGGTCATTTGTGGGATATCTGTACTGTTCTGACATTCTTGGACCTCAAGAAATTAGATTGGCTGTCAGTACTTCAGGATTGATCAATATTCAGATCTATACCATAGTTTGTGAACTCTATAACTTTCCTACAAACTAAATAATACATCCTAATTTGGGTTATTTTCACCAAAGACATGTAGCAGAATACATCTCGGCCTAAATTTATGAAGAACAATTATTTATTTGTAAACTTTTATAACAGAAACAAAGAAAAATGTCTTTTTTTGTTAATTTAGCAAAAAATAAAAACCCCAGCGGTGATTAAATACCACCAAAAGAAAGCTCTAGTTGTGTGAAGAAAATGATAAAATTTTAGTTTGGGTACAATGTTGTATGACCGCGCAATTGTCATCCAAAGTGTGAGAGCGCTGAAACCTGAAAAATGGCCTGGGCAGGAAGGTGTAAAATTGCACGGTATTGAAATGGTTAAATTGCAAAAAAAAAATTTTTTTTATTTTTTTACATACACGTTTGTGCAATAAAATAATAAAATGCAATAAATCTTTAGAACAATTGTTTTTCTGAAACTTTTTTTTTAAGTTGTTTTTAGAAAGAAACACAAAATGGCATTGTTGCCAAAATAATATTACATAACATTGTACAAAAAAATGAAAAAAATCTACAGGGTCTGATAAACTCGTTCCTTCTGGGAGGCATCTTGCTGCTCAAGGTACTGGGGCTGGGGTTGGAGCTGTGTAGGTTCCATGTATCTCTGGGGAGCACTGGCAGGTGAATACATTGGGCGCCGACTTTGTCCTTCCGGCACAAAGCGGCACACAAGTGGCCCTGGTGGTGGCATGAGCTCCATAGGTGTTCCTGAAGCATGATAGCCATATTGTGGCGCGTGATAATTTGGCCATACAGGACTTTGGTAAGCACCATGCATGACACATAAAAGGCCTGAGGTTGTGTCTGTTGGGGCAAAATTGTAGGTGGCGGTGGGTTAGCAGAGGGAATGAAGGAGGTCAGGCACTGTATCATTGCAATTCTCATCTCCCCTTGTCTGTCAAGAGGAACTTGATCAACAAATGGGACTAGTGTGTTTACGTACTGCTGGGATAAAGACATTTGGTTTTTAAATAGAGCTACTAGCTCATTTAATGTATCCATCATTTTTTCACTTTGACGTGCAGTCACCCTTCTTGATGCTCCTCCCCTCCAAGATGTAATTGGTGTTCCAGCAGACCTGCTCAGCTCTTCCTTCACCTCCTCCTCCTCCCCCCTCATCTCCTCTGTCACCCTGGATATGGATGAACCAGTAGTTGGGTCGTCCAGGGTTGATGAAGGACACTCCCCAGGGTCCTCTGCACATGCTTGAGATTCCCAGATGCTCTCAGTGCTGCAAATACAAAAAGAAGGAATATTAGAAAATTCAAAATATTGAATTTATTTCAAACAAAAAATTATTGTAGAGATGCTATGATCCTAGCTTGCCTTCTCATCTCTAGGATTTGTTTGTGGAACTCCAGGTCCTTAGTAAAATTAGAAGGAGGTAAAATTTGATGCACCAGACCCACTCCTTGCCGTTCCATACGCAGCTTTTATTGTAGGAGACTTTTACGCTATGCCATCTTGTACACAACTCTTTAACTGCAAAACATTAAAAAATAAATTTTCTTTTTTCGTTTCAGGTACCTTGCAACAGGACATTCTTTAGCCAATCTACATTTTCAGTTTATGGTTGGAAAATCAACTGCAAACTATATTGTCCGTGACACCTGCGCTGTCACATGGGAGGTACTGCAGGATGTGGTCTTCAAGAAACCAACAGTAGAAGAATGGTGCAACATAGCTGCTGTGTTCCAAGAGCGCTGTAATTTCCCAAATTGTCTGGGTGCAATAGATGGGAAAACACATTTGCATAATAAAGCCAGTAGCTAGTGGCAGCAGTTTTTATAACTATAAAAAATATTTTTCATTTGTGTTATTTGCAGTGGCAGATGCCAATTATTGTTTCACTTACATAGATATTGGGTCCTATGGGAGCATCTCACACTCAAGTACTTTCTCACACTCCTCATTTTGGCAGATAATTCAAAACAATGACCTGGCCCTGCCACCAAACAGTCCGCTACCAGGAACAAGGAGTCCTGCTCTACCATATGTATTTGTTGGTGATGAGGCATTTGCCCTCAGTCAACACCTGCTAAGGCCCTTTTCAAGTCGCTTCTTGGATGTTGAGAGGAAGGTGTTTAACTATCGCCTCACTAGGGCCCATAGTGGCGTTGAGTGTGCTTTTGGCATCCTTGCCAATAATTGGCGTTTGTTGCACACACTCCCATCCACCTAAACATGCAGCATGCTATAAAAGCTGTTAAAGCTGCATGTGCCCTGTATAATTTTATCCAGGAACGGGATGGATTTCAGTACGAGGACACAATTACCCATAACATGACAAGTGCAGATTTACCAGAACCTCAGGGCAGCAGGAGTGGTGCCATTATCAGGGATGCATTCTGTGCCTATTTCATGTCTCCAAATGGTCAGGTGCCATGGCCACTTGAGGCTATTTAATATGTTTGGTCCTGGTTTGGAAGACAAAATTACTGCTGTGTTACTGCTGTTGTGAACAACAATACTGCTATGTAAGGTTGTGAAATTATCATTGTTAAGTTTGCAAAACTGTTTCTTACGGAAAAAAAATTGTCTTTACATTTTAGGAAAAAATAAGATCTTAAAAAAGTCATTATATTTTGGACTTGTGCGTTTTCTTTTTTTTTTTTGGTAATCAAAAAAAAAAGGTGCAGCAAACATGAGCTACACTGAAACCTGATAATACAGATATTACTCACTTTATTTTTCTTTCTGTTTCTTGGTAAAGGAATCCAAAATGCTAGAATACAGTTCTGTGGCAATTTCCACCCATCCCTGTTGCTGCTTTGACTTGTTCTTGTGCTCTGGGTTGCCAGGGCTATATAGATAAGCTCGGGGCCTCACCAGCTGTATGAGCACTTCAGTTTGCACAATGTTGCCTTGTCTTGTATCTGACTTCCTAGTTTGCAGGGCAGCATGGGAAGTCTGTTATCAAGAGGAGGTGTTAGTAGTGAAGCATGTTCAAAATGCAAAACGCATCTAAAATGCACCAAAAACGCAAGCAAAACTCAGCACTTGCATTTTGTATGAGGTTCCATTGAAGTCTATTGGACCAAAAATGCAAACTGCAGCGAGAAAAGAAGTCCCTGACCCTTTCCATAAACCACGCCTGCAAAAAATGCATAGCTGTGAACGTGATCCATAGGAAATCATGTTAAATGGCATGCACTGCTTTCCTGCAAAATGCAAAGTGCATAAAAAATGCGGATATGAGAACCAGGCCTTAGGGTGCCTATACTCTGGATGAAGGAGTAACAGAGAAACCTTTGGACAGCAGCCATTTTTAATCTGTTAGTTGTACTAGCAAAATGTAATATACTAACATACTGAAGCCAAACTCAAGCTAACACTCTTTATACAATTACTGCAAACAGTTTTTTTCCTTTTCAGACAAAGGTTTTACATAAATAAATAAAAGCTGACCATCGTAAGTATCTCTGTCAGTGATAAATGGTTTCTCTCAACCCTTTAACTGCTACATCTGCAGGACAGCCTGCTCTGTTGAAAAACAGACTTACAGGTCAGATCACCAGGTGCAGATAAAAGAGAAGAAAGCCTAAAAAAGAAAACCAATGCAACTATCACATCTAACAACTGCTAAGCTCCAATATAATAAATGTTTGCTTTTAGGTTCAAAACCGCTTTAAACCCAGTTTCTGCTAACTGACTCCCTGCTCCTCCCTGGTAGTTTGCTCTAAGCATCCTCTATTCTTTTAGTAAAATAATTTTTCTTATATTTTAAAAAGTGTGTAAAGTCAATATGCATTTTTCACATAGTTGCTAACATTTAGAAATATTTAGGAGGAACACCTTGGAGGGTTCCTGAAGAAAAATGTGGGGCTCTAGCTAAAAGTTGATGTGACCATAAAGTGGCCTGGGGGTACACTGAAGAAAAAGTGTCAATGAGTAGAAGAGGTTGTATCATTATTGTCAAGGAATTTACTTGAGGTGATTGTAGCCGTATTAGTGCACTTGCGACAGAAACAATTCAGTACTGTCCGTGATACTTTTTTTATTTGCACTAACATACAATTTTAAGGACAAGCTTTCGGGGAGTGTCCCCTTCTTCAGGTCAAAGCAGTACTGATCACAAAGGGTTAGATGAGATGTTTTGGTTTTTGAAGGAAAAAAGAAAAGAAAAGGAGAACAGATAAGATAAGACACAGCAAAAGCAAAGTCTGGGGAGGGGGAAGACTACACTCACAGAGGCTGTGATGCTTGAGGTGATAAAACTGTTGGATAATGAGTGAGGAATTTTTATCATATAAGGTAATGACGGGCGCAAGGCTGTTCTCTCATTCTGGGAGGATGTCATATGACTTTGTCCCATTGTAACCGCGCATGCACGGCTCTGGGAGCGCGCAGCGCGGCGATCGGTGTTGCGCTGTGTCCCTCAGACACAGTGCATCACCGATCAACAGAAAGAGCCAAAGATGTCGGCTCGGTCATGTGATCAGCTGTGTCCAATCACAGCTGATCACATGTAAATAGGGAAATGCCGGTTATTGGCATTTCTCTCCTCACGATCTGTCACGCTGACAGCTTGAGAGGAGAGGAGAGCCAGTAATCGGCATTACTAAGAGGGGACGTGCACTGATGATCAGTGTGCCCTGATGATCTGTGTAGCCCCAGAAGTGCTACCTGTCAGTGTCCATCAGTGCCAGCTGTCAGCGCTCATCAATGCCACCTGCCAGTACCCATCAGTGCCACATCAATGCCACATATCAGTGCCCATCTGAGCTGCCTTTCAGTGTCACCTATCAGCGCCAGTCAGTGCCACCTATCAATGCCAGTCAGTCCTACCTATCAGTGCTGCCAGTCAGTGCCGCCTATCAGTGCCAGTCAGTGCCGCCTATCAATGCCAGTCAGTGCTGCCTAACAGTGCCAGTCAGTGCCACCTAAAAGTGCCAGTCAGTGCCACCTAACAGTGCCAGTCAGTGCTGCCTATCAGTGCCACCTATCAGTACCGCCTATCAGTGCCATATATGAGTGCTGCCTTTCAGTGCCCATCAGTCATGCCTGTCAATGCCCATCAGTGCCACCTACCAGTGCCTCCTCATCAGTGCCCATCAGTGCCACCTATCAGTGCCCATCACTGCAGCCTCATTAGCGCACATCAGTGAAGGAAAAAAATCACTTATTTACAAAATTTTATAACAAAAACTAAACACAAAACAAAACTTTCAAAATTTTCAGTGGTTTTTGGTTTGTTTAGCAAAAAATAAAAAACCCAGAGGTGATTAAATACCACCAAAATAAAGCTCTATCTGTCACAAAAAAAATGATAAAAATGTCATATGAGTACAGTGTTTCATGACCGCGCAATTGTCATTCAAATTGTGACAGCGATGAAAGCTGAAAATTGGCCTGGACAGGAAGGGGGTATAAGTGCCCTGTAAGCTAGTCGTTAAGAAGCCTGGGAACTTTCCAGGAAAGAAGTAGATAGCGAAAGGCTGAGGACGTGTGTGCGTGTGAAGAAGGCCATGCTGGACTCAGGGGACAGGGGATCTAGGCTGGATAGGGTCACCTCGCAGAGAAGGAAAGAGGGACTGCAGACCGCTTGTATTGCTGACGAGCAGGACTACTTCACCCACAGAGAGACTATTTCTCATGCTGAAAATACTACAGACTGGGTGAGAGGGTTCCATAACCCAGATAATCAGAAGTTGCAATTGACTGTGTTATTTTCAGTTGTTCAGTTCAGTACACTTTACACCATAGATTATCACATTGAGACCCAGACAGCCTGGCCCATTCAGTACTGCGAATACTGCTTTAGTGTCTCCCAATTATCCTGAAACCCCAGGGCTCTGGCTACAGCACGTGCCCCCCTGCAGACAGGATTACACTTAGTATCTAATTTCAAGCCTCTTCCAGCTCTAAAGGAATTTGCTTCACTGGACTAGTTCACCATCCTTAGGGGTTCAATCTCTGCTGAAGCCTGCTTCTGCCCCTTTCTTCAATTTTAGCCAATTCTTGCCTTCATCTCCTGTGTTAAACAGACCTCACCAGTTTCAACACCATTCAAATGGGATTGTTTTCTGCTGCTAAAGCATCTTCAGGAAATATTGCTCTTACACAAAAAGGATCTAAATCTTAATGTGCACCAACTAGGACCCCATCAAGCACACAGAAGATTTTTCACCATTCTTTGATGTGATACAAAAGGGGACATTATTGCCTTATAAAAAAAGATTCATTTCAAGACTTAAACCCAGTTCCTAGCTATTGAGAACCCAAAAGTGAGTTAGCCTAGCATTTTGATAGTCCACTTCAGCTCACTTGGGGAGAGATATCTTCTGGAATTGATGATTAAATTCTGATCCTGCAGGATATTTGGGTTTGCTTAAAATGATAGTATGCTTGATTACTTTGTTACACCTTTTAGAGTGTTTAAATTTTCTCTATGCACATCTACTGTCATTCTTGTTGTGCTAGCACTCTTTATACTCTGACCTTAAACCAGTTAGCATATTTGGTCACCTTAAACTGTGCTTTTATTTTATGGTTCATAGCCAGGGAGTCCTCCTGGTCAAAGTTTCACGGTGGTGCCAGCTGTGGATGTACTTCCAAAACAAGCTCAGAACAGATAGGGAACCCAAAAATACTCAGCGGCTCTTAAGGGGGAAGCGCTACATGTGTTAATGGTAAAATGTAATTGACAATCATTGGTGTCAATGTGCAATTAATGACTAGCCCTCCGAAAGATTTATCCCCCTTAATGATCAGGCCATTTTTTTTGCTAATACCCAACTCTGTACCCAACCAAAATTTGTGTCCTTTTTTTCACTGTGTGAAAGTTATAGCATCTACAAACTATGGTATATATCTATACTGGAATTTACACAGGTTTTACTTACTGACTGCCTATCATTTCTTGAGGTGCTAAAATGCCAGGGCAGTACACAAACCACCCCAAATTACCTCTTTTTGAAACGTAGACATCCCAAGGAATTTGCTGAGAAGCATGTTGAGTCCATGGAAGATGTTATTTTTTTGCCACAAAGATTTTGGAAACTCACAAACAAAATAGTATTTTGTGTTACACAAAGTTGTTACTTAAAATATATATTGTTCACGCACGACATGGGTATATGTGGAATAACACTCCAAAACACATTCAGCTACTTCTCCCAAATATGGGAATACCACATGTGAAAGATGTTTTAGCAGCTTAGCTACATGCAGGCCCCAAAAATCTAGTGACCACCTCCATGCATTCAAAGGGTAAATTTCCTCATGTCACTTCTTCACTTTTAACAGTTTCAGAGGCCTGGGTAGTGCAAACATCCCCCCCCCCCCAAATAACCCCTTTTTGAAAAGTAGACAACCCAAAGAATTTGATAAAAGGCATGGTGAGTATTTTGCAGATATAATTTTTGTCGCAGGGTTTAGAAACGAAAAAAAATAATTTTTTGTTTTCTTTCTTCATTTTTCAAAAACTTGTGGCAACAAATGAGATCTGCAAAATACTCACCATGCCTCTTAGCAAATACCTTGGAGTGTCTACTTTTCAAAAAGGGGTCATTTGGCGGGGGGGAAGGGTTCTTCTACTTTCCAAAGCCAACATTAGAAGCTTATGCCACACACACCACCCACTCTTCTAACCAATAGAAGAACCAGCCTTTTCTGACGCTTTTTGTTAGGCCCTAGAGAATAAAAGGGTGGGTATTGAAATTTTTTATGTCACATAGTATTTGCGCAGCGATTTTTCAAACACAATTTGTTTGGAAAAAAAATAAACTTTTTAGAACAAAAACACAATATACTGCCCAATAATTGTTTGATAAAATATAAAAGATGATTTTATGCAGAGTAAATGGATACCAAACATGACATGCTTTAAAATTGCACACGTCAACAATGGCAACAAACTACGTAAATTGTTAATATCCATGGGCGAAGCTTTAAAAGTCTTTATAGGTCACCACTTTAGATTTACACAGGAGGTCTAGTGTAGAATTACTCTCCTCAATCTGACGTTCGCAGTGATACCTCACATGCATGGTGCAATCTCTGTTTACATACCAATACGGGACCGCCGCTTGCGTTTGCCTTTGCATGCTAGAATAGGGATGGGGGTAGGGGTGAAATTTTTTGTTTTGCTTTTTTTATTTTTACACTGTCCTTTTCATTTTTTTAAATCACTTTTATTGTTATCACATGCAATGTAAATATCCCCTGTGATAGCAATATGCAGTGACAGGTACTCTGTTCTGAGAAATCTGGGATCTATTAGACTCTAGATCTCTCCTCTGTCCTTACAGCATCTGCTCACACCAAGATCGGGGTGATCAGATGCTTTGCCAAATTTAAAATGTTGTTGTTTATATCCGGCAAAACGGAAATGATGAAATGCTTGTAGCTTCTCTTAGTCCATAGACTGGAGGCAACCTGCTGCTAATTAGCCACTATAATTGCTTTTACATGAAAGCTAGCCACCAGCTGAAAAAAAAAAACAATATCAGGATTATGCCTGTAGCTGCATCATCCTGGTATAACCACTCAAAGTTCAGAGATGTACCAGTACATTGCTGGTCCTATACACTATATTGCCAAAAGTAATGGAATGCCTGCCTTTACACGCACATGAATTTTAATGGCATCCCAGTCTTAGTCTGTAGAACTCAATAGTGAGTTGGCCCACCCTTTGCAGCTATAACAGCTTCAACTCTTCTGGGAAGTCTGTCACAAGGTCTAGGAGTGTGTCTATGGGAATTTTTGACTATTCTTCCAGACGTGCTTTTGTGAGGTCAGGAACTGATGTTGGACAAGAAGGCCTGGCTCTCAGTCTCTGCTCTAATTCATCCCAAAGGTGTTCTATCAGGTTGAGGTCATGACTGTGCAGGCCAGTCAAGTTCCTCCATCCCAAACTCGTTCATCCATGTGTTGATGGACCTTGCTTTGTGCACTGGTGTGCAGTCATGTTGGAACAAGAAGGAGCCATCCCCAAACTGTTCCCACAAAGTTAAGAGCATGAAATTGTCTAAAATGTTTTGGTATGCTCATGCCTTAAGAGTTTCCTTCACTGGAACTATGGGGCCAAGCTCAACCCCTAAAAAGAACCCCACACCATAATCCCCCCCCATCAAACTTTTCATTTGGCACAATGCTGTCAGGCAAGAACCGTTCTCCTAGCACCTGCCAAACCCAGACATATCCATCGGATTGCCAGACAGAGAAGCATGATTTGTCAGCCCAGAGAACATGTCCCCACTGCTCTAGAGTCCAGTGGGGTGTGCTTTACACCACTGCATCCAGCACTTGCTCTTGGTGATGTACGGCTTGGATGCAACTGCTCAGCGATGGAAACCCATTCCATGAAGCTCTTCATGCACTGTTGTTGTGCTAACCTGAAGGCCACGCCACACAAAATTTGGGGGTAATAAAGCCTTGCAACATTCCTGTACAGATTTGTTGTTTAAAAATAAGGGCATCAGTAATCAAGAACAACCCTTGAGAATTATCACCTCATATAAAATGCAACATTCCCTGTTGCTTAAATATATTAGAAGATATTGACATTTGTTAACCTCAGACCCTAACATTTCTCAGATTGTCCCCCTTGAGCCCCTAATTACATACTGTATCTTAGAGCACCATCTTTAAAAGATAAATTAGTTTTGAGTACATTTAGTTCTAGTCAGTCCAAAAAATCTGGACTGCCCAGAGGAACTTTTCCATGTGGTAAATGTAACTATTGCCAATTTATAGGCTCTGTTGGGAAGGTTAAGTTACCGAATGGCCAAATTTTCACTCCTAAAGTATTTGGTAATTGTCAAACAAAGGGAGTAATCTATTTGATGACCTGTCCTTGTGAGGCTTTTTACATTGGTAAGACTATTAGGAAATTATGGAGAAGAGTTAAGGAACACATTAATGCTGCTGTAACTGGGAATGTATATTCTACTATTGGAAGACGTGGTGCAAACACATAATTATCATATACCTAGTCTCTGCTCCTGGGCCTTGGAATAGGTATCCCTCGGTACCAGAGGAGGAGACTGGAATAAATTTTGCTGGATTCACAAATTCTGGTCCACACAATGTTCTGAATTGAATGATAACTTGAGTTTCAGATCATTTTTGGATGGCTTTATCTCAGGTAGCTTTAAACATTTATTGTAAATCCATATTGATTTATTGATAAAATTCTGGATGATCTGGTTTGTTTTTTTTAGTATATGGTGTTTATATGATTATTATATGAACGATTGGGAATGGGGGCTCTCTTTACTGTCGTG